AATTTTGCCGATTTCTCTTCTTTTACTTTAGTTTTTATATCTCAACTTTGCCGATTTCTCTTCTTTTACTTTAGTTTTTATATCTCAACTTGGTCGGTTTCTCTTCTTTTACTTTAGTTTTTATATCTCAATTTTGCCGATTTCTCTTCTTTTACTTTAGTTTTATATCTCATCTTTGTCGATTTCTCTTCCTTTATATCTTTGGCATACTGATTTTATTTTTGGACAAAAAATTTCTATTTAGACAGTTATTTCGTTCCCCTCGAGAATTCATGAACGAAGCCCAACTATGAAAAAAAATTGTTTTTTGAACCAAATGTTTTAATATTTTATATTTAATTTAGAATGTGTTATTTTTATAAACTGTTATGCATTATCTTTTATCCACGCATTATAGAACTTTCAAGTAAAATTATGCTGTTAAAACTGTTGGAAAGAATGTAATTATAACTGGTTTGCAATTAAAATGAATGTGAAAATATAACATAAACAGTCATTTCCTAAGGATTTACGAATATTGTTTTTCAGCTAAACAGTTATAAAACAAATACTAGATTATTGATGAATTTTATAAGGAAAACAAACTATACATGTATATTATATTTTTTTTTCAGGTCTTGAAGTAATCGTTTCAAGGCTCGTTAACCGGAAGACTTAACAACTACACAGAATAATAAGAGAAAAAAGAATAAATTGTTTTTGTATCTATCAGCATTACTGCCGGGACGTTTCAACAGATATTTTCATGAAACTAAGTTACAATAGTTGGTATTGTTTTTAACCAACAATGGCCACGTCACTGTGTAATAGTTCCGGTTCACCTACAGATGGGAGGCCCGTCTCTCAAGAGGGTAGTCATGAAGTAAGAAAGCACTCGTCAGGGGAATCCACAATGGAGCCGGATGCGCCAAAAAAACAAAATTTGGCCTTTTCAATTGCAAAAATCATGGAATCGGAACCCGAAAGATGTAAACCTGTTAAGCCTAACGTATCGTTAGAAACCGTGTTTGAGGATTTCAAGAAACGCTTTAATAATCCAGTGATTTCTCATGGTTCTACGTGTAACCCCGCAGGTCCTCTGATGAGTGCAGGATATCCTACTGGAACAAGTAACTTAGCTCCTTACTCATTTTTTATGAGTCCTTTTGGACCACGACTTACTGATGTGCGATATAATCAAGACGTGCTAGAACCATACTCTGGCGTCACAACGGACTCAACCTATGACAGTAGTTTTAAAAAAGTTGCGGCTTCCATTGGGTTAAGAGATGTCCCTTATTTGTCGCCTCCTGGTATTGATACTAATCCTCGGTTTCCTCACATGAGAGCTCAAGACTTACTCCGACATTACGGAGTCCTATACTCTCTCTACCCTCCCCAGTCAGTTGCACACATCATGAATATGCGTAATTATGGACTTAGGCCCGAACAAGAACGAGCTTTATCTCTGTGGAGGAATTCGTCTCAACCAAGTTACCCACATTTAGCACAGGACGATGCGTTTTTTAAAATTATACGACCACAGCCTATGATCCCACCCTCAGGTCGTAGCATAGCTGCTTGTCCGTCACAAAGCCAAGAAAAGCGAGACCTTCTGAAGCAGCAACAGTCAACGTTTCTAACTAGTTCAGACGATATCGTACCGATAGTGTCTTCTATCAATGGTCCAAGAAATTCTGAAAGCACTATATCGACTCCTAATAGTAGTGGTCTTCAGCTGACGGGAACCTTGCGAGGCAGAAGAAGTATAAACAAACAAAAAACATTCACGTGTACAGAATGTGGAAAAATTTTTAATGCCCACTATAACCTGACTCGTCATATGCCTGTACATACAGGAGTCCGACCTTTCGTGTGTAAGGTTTGTGGGAAAGGATTCCGTCAAGCTAGCACTTTGTGTCGCCACAAAATTATTCATACAGACGAGAAGCCGCATAAGTGTCACACTTGTGGAAAATCCTTCAATCGGAGCTCCACCCTCAACACGCACATTAGGATCCATGCTGGTTATAAACCATATATCTGCGAGTTCTGTGGCAAAGGTTTTCACCAGAAGGGTAACTACAAAAACCACAAGTTAACGCACAGTGGCGAGAAAGCCTACAAGTGTTCCGTGTGTAACAAGGCATTCCACCAGGTCTACAACCTTACCTTTCACATGCACACACATAATGACAAGAAACCTTACACATGCAAGGTCTGTGGCAAGGGCTTTTGCCGAAATTTCGATTTGAAGAAACACATGCGAAAATTGCACGAAAATATTCACTTAACAACAGCCGCTAGTAATGGGTCGAACATAATTAATTCCAACTCCAGTAGCGCCACCACCGTAAACGTTAATCTTGTTAATCCTTTTTTTGTCACACCGAGTAATAATAGTTATATAGAGCAGTTACCAGGAATTATCTAACGTACAAAAAATATTTGGGAAAATAATTAGTTAGAGTTCAATAGTCTAATAACTGTGACTTTAACTTACTTAAATTTATTTAATAATCATAATTTATTATGCATGCATTCGATTAGTTGAATAAGGTAACTGATCCACTAAATGTTGTGAATTATTGACGAAATGACAAATTAAATATAAACTAATTTATAATTAACAGAACTTTGTAGTTCTCAGTTTGACGTTAGGTGGCGATAAAACAAAAAGTTTTATTATTAAAGCTGTGTTCTAAAATGGTAGTTGTGTACATGTTACGTAGTCTTATCTTAAAGGGTTATATTTGATCTTATGTTAAGTGTCATTCTATGGGCGCTAATTGAATAATAAATTATTATGATATCACATGTTTATTTTTAAATATTTCATCAAGAAAATTGTTTCTTACTGCATTTTAAGGGTCAGTATCGAAAAAATAATAATAATTTAAATTTTATTCGTAATTAATTCCAAAACATATTGTTCAAGGTCTAATATCGAATATTGAAATAAAATATGCTTTCATTGGTACACTGATTGTTTTTTTCTTTTTAATTGGATTAGCAAACACTTAATAATTAAAAATGCAATCAGAATGATTTTGTTATTATTTATAGGTTGTTATGGAGATATATCATAAAACTTCGGCAAATCAATTTTTATCTTAATAAATTTTGTTTAATGTTGGAAGAATATTTTACCATTAATGTACAGGTATCATTATTTACCGTTTCAGAATTTAAAATTATGAATGATCTAAAAATAAAAATAATTAATCCGCATGTTTTCAAAAGAAAAAAATCTTTTTGTCCGTATTCTCTAACTTGAATTTGACGATAACGTATCTAACAACAGCGGTTACAACATTCCAATTTAATTTTATTGTTGTCTCCCTGTGTATCATGGGTAAGTCTCCAGACTTACAACACTAAAATCCGAGGTTCGATTCTCCGCAGTTGAGAGATCGCAGATAAATCATTGTGTAGCTTTGCGCTAAAGAACCACCAATAGCATAACTTTGTTGTAGCTGTATATTATCATAGTTTTTAATTAAAATTAGTATATTAATATATTTCTATTTTAACGAAACTAATAAGCACGTCACTCCATTCAAAGGAAGATAATGTTACTACCCCTGATGAAATTGGATGATTATCCCTACCCGTCATAGAATTGGATGTATTATCCATATGAGTGATGAAACCGAATTCTCTATTTATATTTCTTTAAAAGGTGTGCTAAATTATTGCTGTGTTGATAAATCTTTGTCAATCTTAGTTGTTTTGGATTAAGGAAATATAGCGTGTGTACCTATATTTTTCATGTATATTAAAAGTTTTCATTTTGATTAAATGTTGTATTATGGGCATAAATTGTGTCTAGAGACATCTACAATAGTTTCAGAAGAAGAAAATCTGAAATATGTTCATTCCATTACTCCCGGAGACGTGAAACTTGTTTTAATGAAAGATTACACAAAAAGAGTGTTCTAAATATAAATGCTACTTATTGATGTAATACTTTCGTCATCATTTTTAAATTTGTTTGAATTTTATTTTTTCAGGGGGCATAATCAGAATAAAATGTAACAGTTTCAAAAGAAGCTGGTAGCAGGAAGAGTGCATATCAGTTTTCTAGCATTTAATGCTAACTGATAAAGAGTATTGTTTCATTTGTACAGAAGATTCTGTACTTGCCATTGTACTTTATGAATGCGTGAGACCAGTCGCCATTAGTCTTACTGAAAAAAAAATTAAATGATGTATCATATAATGTGCATTAATTTAAATTCAAACTCTCCATATTTTCATTATTTGCTATACTTTTTTTCTATACTCGATCTCAGACAACCATTTTAAAGAAAACAATGTAATACAAAATATGAATAATGGGAGAAGAAGCAATATTTAGGTATTTTGTCATTTCTGTATTCTCGCATATTATGACGTAATAGACAAGTCTATTCGAAGTATACATATTTTTCTTGGTATATTTTTTTCGTAGAAACCCAAAACATAATGAATTAACTGTTAACTTCAGAATAAGGAAATAAAATTAATATATATGAGAATACAATTAATAAAATTCTAAACAAATCTTAATTAATTTTTCTTTTCATTTTGAGAAAGATGTTTTATGTATTTACTAATTTCAAAAAGCTGAGTGAAAAATTTATTCTTTGGGTTACTGGTTTAATGATTTCTTATACGTTACGATAAACCATTTTGCTGGTAAGATCAATCTATTTAAGCTGTAAAAATCGTTAGTTTTGGAAACATTGAATTTTTTTAGTTCGAAGTAAGATATGTTTATAAAATCAGCTTATGATCAAGTGAAGCTACCTATATACATCAGAACTAAACACACACGCACATATATATATATATACTCAGTAATGAACACAGCTAATTAAATAAAATGTTCAAACCATATTATATATAACGATTAGAATGCATTCTTTTGCAAGTAAAGTTCCCACGTTAGAGCAAATTATGAAATTAAAAAAAAACTAACTAACTAAAAATATGAGTCTTCAGACACATTACGTGAAGAGAATTAAAATTAAGTAAAACTCTGGAACATTTTTTTTTTACCTAAACGCTAATTAGTTTACTATTTACAATATTTTGGCTCCAGTAATGGGCTTAAAATATCGTTAATAATAATTTTGGAAATATCTTCCAAACTACAATTTGAAAATGCAGGATTCGATTCCTCGTGGTGGACAGAGTACAGGAAGACCATTGTATAGCTTTGCGCCAAAACAAAAATATAAATAACAACAGATTTTCAAACAATATATTTTTGAGCGTCACCTGGTGTAATCAAACCATCAATTAATGCGTTGAATTTTTATGCAGCCTTCAAATATTTTTATTTACTTCTTTCTGCTGCCGAGTCTCCGTTAAGAATTTTTTTAAAATTTTAATATGTGGGTCTATAAGTATGTTTTATTTGCTTGAACAACTAAATTTTCCGGACAACATAACCTCTGACTTAAGGTAACCTAAAATCACAAAATAGTGGCCTAGTATATTGGTGCCGAAACGACTACTCGTATGTTCTGAGTCTGTAAGGTGTTTTCGAACTCAAATAAGCAATGAAAATTCAAATAATAATAATAAAACAGACAAATATTTTAATAACTTTCCATTTCTATTAAAGAAATACCAAATGTTGGTCTTAACTTTTTGTTTGTTTTACTTTTTACTTATATGTGATTTTTTAAAATTATATGTGAAAATAATTAACTAAGAAAAAAAAAATCAAATTTCGTTCAACTTGCTAGTAGATACTTAGAAAATTCAAATAAATCATGTTAACGCCATCTTTGATTAGAGCCGAAATATGCAGCTTTTCTAACATTTTTATATTCAATCAATATTGAATTATATGTTGACAAACAATACTTTATAAGCACAATTATAAGCTGTTTGTCAATTTACTATTATATTAGCATAATGTGCTTCCATGCTCAAGTAATCAATCAGTACACACAAACTCTGCATTAACGGCTTCTCGTCTTTAAGACCTGGTGATTATTTTTAGCAGTTGAAATTCTATGGAATTAAAATATCAATAACGGAAAATGTTTTCAAATATAGAAGAAGGATATCGTATTACGAGTTAGCCACATTTCTTAATTTACTTATAGGAGTAAACTAATAGACACGGCTATCAACAGTAAATAAACGTCAAGAATACAATCCTGAAACTCCAAGTAATACTTAAAATATCGTATAAATGTCCCTGTTTTCATGTTTATTGAGTTTACAACCTGTTCTGTTAAAGAACAAATATCGTCTGCCAACTGTAATTTAATTCACCTAGCACGGTAAATTCACTCTCTTTTTCTAACGTGCAACTTGCTTTAAAGGAATCTTTATCTGTTTGTATTATTATTCAATTTTTTACTTTGAAGAAGTAAATTGGTAGTTATTTGATTAGCATGTTTTAAGGTTTCTGTAATACGACTCTATAACGCACACTATAAAATTAAAACTGAATTAGTTTTTATATCAAACTCACATTTATTTTGTCCCAAAAGGTGGCGTGTTTTTGTTGATATATGTGAAGAGTTGCTGGAATTTTGTAGTTGTAATTTTACATTCAGTTTAATATAAGTATGAGTATATACGCACATTCTAAGTTGTTTGATTGTATTTAACATGTAATTATTTTGATTTATCAAAATATGAAATGTGTGAAACTTTAGCGCACCAAGAAAACGTATGATACGCCATCTATAAGTTAAGATATAAGACTACGCCAATATCAGTAATAAACAGTGTTAGTGTGAGTGGTGTGTTCATTGTCTTTTCTTATTTCTAAATACCGTATTACATGCTAAAGTACCATCACAAGTTAACTTTACTTCTTCAAGTTTGAAAATTAAATGAACTACTAAAAGAAAGAAGTTTGCTTGGTACTTGTTCTGTCATATACATGTATTAGGTCGTCAAGAAATTAATGTTGCTTTTTGGAACACTTTCATTAACCACCCCACAAAAAAACGCACATCACGTATAATAGTTAAACGAACCGCCTAAACGTCACGTTAGTGTAGCCTATAAATGTGTAAAGTTTAGTATACTCTAATCCTTTATAATGATGGTACACGACGAGACAGGCATTCGGCACGTAATTCTGTTTGAATACAAGAAGGGAAACAACGCCTCTGTAGCCACAAAGAATATCAAAGAAGTTGATGGAAATGTTTTAAACGTTCCTAAGTGTTAACGATGGTTCAGCAAATTTCGTTTAGGTGACTTTAGACCTTAAAAACTGT